CAGAGGAAAACAACAACAACAACCTTAACACCAATGAGGGGGCATTTCTCGGTTTAATGGGACTGTCAATGCCCCCTTCTTCCATGCATTCGCAGTCGTCGCCGATGATGATGTCACTCTCTCTGTCGCCGGCCCCTTGTTACCCCCCGGCCAACTCGGCGGCGTCCATGTTCCTCTACGACGACACCCGGGCGGCCCACCACTTCACGCCGCCCCCGCCGCCAGCGGCACTGTCTGCAACCGCTTTGCTCCAGAAGGCGGCGGAGGTGGGGTCGAAAGCGTCCACCACTTTTCTCCAGGGCCTTGGGTTAACAATGTCTTCAGTTGGAGAAGAATATTCTTGTGATCCAATTCCAGATAAGAAGCCGTTGACTCTGGATTTTCTCGGACTGGGAGGGAACCAGACATCGTCGTCCTCGGCGGACCGATATCCTGTGCTGCTGGGTTCTATGAATAATGGGAGGGGGCGGCGGGATCACTTCGGCATTGATGCTTCGTCGTCTTCGTTTTCTGGGTTTTTGGGCGGCCATTCTTGGGATGACACTTCTGATCAAAAGCCTGCAGCTGGGTTTCTTTAGTAGTTTTTTTTTTTTTTTTAAAGAAGAGATTCTGGGTAGGGAGAATGTTTCACAGTTGGGCTTAAATTTGCCGGCTGGAGAGCTTTGATTGTTCTTTTTTTTTTGTTTTTTAATTATAATTTCAGACATGGACATGCATGTATTTAATTGATTCTGTATATATTTGTTCATAGGAGGAGAGAGATTCATCATTATGATTAATTAATGCAAAATGTTCAGTATTTACTTCATGTTACTCCATACAGAGAGTACTACTCGGTAGTCGGTATTACTCATTCATTATCTAAAGAATAAATGTTACTTGTAGTATGTGATCGGAATGGTTCTGATTTGATAATTTACTTAAATAGAAATAAAATATAATGACTTTCTCAATATAGGATTATAATCCGTATGTTTTTATTTCCTAATGTAAGACCATTAGTCATTATCTATTAGTCATTATTCAATTAAATGTTCAACATTACTTGAACATTATATTTCTCATTAGTCATTATTAAGTCCGGTTTAGAGAATAAAAAAAGTTTAAATTTTACATTGAGAAATAATTTATGTTTTAGTCCTATTAGTCCTAGCTAATAAAAAATATACATGCAATAAAACATCAATAGAAACAAAGAAGACCTTGTAGTTTAATGAATAAAAGGCGACTCTTGTAATTATGAGATCATGGTTCAATCTATATTTTTTGCCTTGTTGGTGAGAACTCAATATTTTATTTGATAAAAAAATATTGAGAAAATTCTCAAAATAATATTCAATAACTATGTGTTATCTCAAATTAGTCCAAAGATAAGCTAATTTCCGAGATAGTGCTCGCTAATTGAATATAATGTCTAATTTAGTCAACTGACTAACCGTTGTCAAAACAACGTCAAAATAACAATAAAACTTATACTAATTTTCCAAATTGATCATATATAATTAGATTTTTTTTGAAATTAGTTTGTTTTCAATATAAAAACTCATTTAATATGAAAAATCAAGCAAGATTCATTCCTTTTAATTGATTCACGGTGTTTGAGCGAAGCCGGTAGACCATTTTGTATGAGATTTTTTTCAAAATTTGGTTCATCTAGTCTGATCTGATTTCTTAAAGTTCTAATCTGATCTGATTTGAGTATATCTAATTGGATTTGATTGGATTTGATTTAATCTGATCTGATTGGATATGATCTGATCTCGTCTGAGCTAATCTGATCATGTCTTATACGGAGTATGATTTAGTCTGATATGATCTGATTGGACCTGATCAGATATTAATTTGATTAAATTTAAAATTAAAATTTCTATTACATTAGCTATGATAATAGTTATAATAATAATAGAAATATTAATATTAACAGTAATAACAATAATAAAAATAATAGTCAGAATACTAACAGTAATAAAAATAATATTAATAAGAATAGTAATAATAATAATAAAAACAATTATAATAATAATTATAAGAGTAATAATTATAATAATAAGAATTATAATAGTAATAATAATAATAACTATAATAATAAATATACTAAAAATAAAAGTAATAACAATAATAATATAAATAATAATAATAGATTTACTAATAATAATACTATAATAGTAATATTAATAATAATATTAGTAATAATGATAATAATAATAATCCTAATAATAATAATATTAATAATTATAATAACAATGACAATAATAATTATAGTCATAATAATAATAGTAATAGTAATAGTAGTAATAGTTATAATAATAATAGTAATAATAATAGAAATAATAATAATAGTAATAGTAATAGTAATAATAATAGTAATAATAAATATAATAATTATAATAATAATAATAGTAATACCAATAGTAGTAATAATTATAATCATAATATTAATATTAATAGTAATAATAATAGTAATAATAGTAATAGTAATAATAATAATAAAAATAATAATATTAATTTTGTTTAGTTATCTGATTTGGCTTGAGTTAGTAAAACACATAGGATTAGGGAGTACTTGGATCCGAGTTGAAGAAGACTCCGTGCCTCAGCCGCCAAAGTTAGAAGAGTGGAAATAAGCAATGTAATTAAACCCGGACCGGACCGGCCGGTCCAATCGGGTGGACCGTGACCCAGCTATTTGTCCGGTCCGGTTCTATCCAAAAACCCGGTGAAACCCAGTTGACCCGGTGGACCGTCCAACCCGGATCGACCCGTCCGATTCGCGGGTCTGGAGCTTTCAGCGTGTAGTAATTAAAAATTTTGTACCCAGTAGGGAATCGAACCTGGAACCTAATAATAATTATAGTCATAATAATAATAGTAATAGTAATAATAGTTATAATAATAATAGTAATAATAATAGAAATAATAATAATAGTAATAGTAATAGTAATAATAATAGTAATAATAAATATAATAAATATAATAATAATAATAGTAATACCAATAGTAATAATAATTATAATCATAATATTAATATTAATAGTAATAATAATAGTAATAATAGTAATAGTAATAATAATAATAAAAATAATAATATTAATTTTGTTTAGTTATCTGATTTGGCTTGAGTTAGTAAAACACATAGGATTAGGGAGTACTTGGATCCGAGTTGAAGAAGACTCCGTGCCTCAGCCGCCAGAGTTAGAAGAGTGGAAATAAGCAATGTAATTAAACCCGGACCGGACCGGCCGGTCCAATCGGGTGGACCGTGACCCAGCTATTTGTCCGGTCCGGTTCTATCCAAAAATCCGGTGAAACCCAGTTGACCCGGTGGACCGTCCAACCCGGATCGACCCGTCCGATTCGCGGGTCTGGAGCTTTCAGCGTGTAGTAATTAAAAATTTTGTACCCAGTAGGGAATCGAACTTGGAGCCTATATTTCTGCCACCCAGAAGGCCTAGCCATTTCGGCTATTACACGTTTTGTTTCATAGCTTGTGTGTAGTAGTATATATTTGAGAAAACCTTCAATTATTTAGAAAAAAAAGTCATGCTACTATAATGTAAACTTATTTTCGAACTTTGAAAATAATTAAAAATCAAGTAATTATAAATTATCTAAAAACATTATTATCTTTTAAAATCAAGTAATTATAAATTAATATATTACGATTTATCTTTATTTTTTAAATTTTAATCAACTAAATATACGTTTGAAATGTTAAATAGTACGGATTATATACGAACACTTGTAGAAATAGGTATGGATATGTTGACCGAGTCGTTGACCCAATTCAACCCGGTTCAACCGGTTGACCCTTGACCCACTTGCTTCGCCGGTTCGACGTCCCCTCCTGTTTTTAAAACATTGGAAATAAGTGGACAGTTCGAGAAGTCAAAATTGATGATGTGGCAGTTAGGGTTCGCTGGAATATCAGCTCCGGCCAATCCATCCTCCTCAAGCACTTAGCTCCGATCAATCCCGGTGCAATTGTCACCCTAATTTCGGACTTCGTCGGCCTTTTACTGCTCCCCGGTGGCTCTGCTTACTATTCATCCAAATATTTGTTGCAGTGAATCTTTGGACAACAACAACTCAACAACTCAATCTCTTCACCTTCAAACTCTTTCAAAAGTTCGATCTTCGTCCTTGAAGGTGCCCTCTCTTCCTTCCTTACCTGTTTTTGTTACATATTTTGCTCGGATTCATGAAAGGTTCCGTAGTGACCAGAGCTGACTCTTGGACTGCTTTTGTTTGGCCTTGCTCTCGCTCGTATGTGTGATATTATGGTTGAACAAGACCTACTTATATTGTAAGGTGATGTGATCCGTCTGTTTAGACTTATTATTGATTTTAACAAGAGCTACTGATATGGATCCCGGATACTCAATATGCCAGAGAAGATAATTCAATTTCTTTTCAAAAATATTTGCTCTCTCTTGCCGTGATCTTCCCAAGGAATGCCAAATTTACGTTTTGTTAGAAAAACTATACTCGTATTGAGCTTGATTGCTAGAACCATTTATATGTTAATGGTGGTGTAGCCTTAAAACCGATAAAATCTTTAGAGTGCCCCAAAGTTTTACACGGGTGCTCTGCATTTTTCGATACATATTGTGTTAGAGCTCCTGGATTACAACGTGAGTTTGAAAAACCAATCAAGAACTGATTCACGCTCTCCTCTATTTCCTAATACTCTTGCACCACAAAAAAATGAATCTTTTGATATGAGTTAAATAGGTCTAAATTTCTCTAGGATATTCTCAAATCTCAAGAAAATCTGAGAAAAAAAACGACATCTTCAATTACGAAAAGGTTTCCGACAATATCCTCAATAGATTGCACATATCCTCAGGAAAACCAATATGAGATTGACTCTTGTTTTGAATATCTGTAAAATGCTTTCAATAACAATACAATCATTTGAATAATCACCCAAATGCATACTGTGTACTCCGTACCATAGCTATGAAAGGCAGCGCCATGGTCGCCTATGGCGGTTATGGCGCTGTGGCGACCCTCCAGTACCTTAATTTGGTCCGTACTAAAAATTTAATGTACACAATCAGCAAACATGTGCGTGTGAGTGGTCAAAATACCCATGTAAAAAGGATCATTTCCCATCATGCCCCGTGAATACTCTCCTGCATAAAATAACCAGTACATACTACATACATCACTTTCTTTGTGTCATGCTTGGGATGAAGAGGAGTACTAGGCTGGATAAGCGGTTTTTTTAAATTGTTGCATTGTGCCTAATTGGCAGACAAATACTTTTATCTACAATATAAAGCTATCTCTGATGTTATAACTTTTTAATTCTTTCGTGTTGTGCTATGCAGGTGTCTGAAAAGCTACAATTAGTGGTGACCTAATCAGCATTCTGATTTACTTGTAACTAGTAAATGTACGTACAGTTATGATAATTTTCTTTTCCCTGCTGCTTGGTTCTTCTGTTTCCACATTTTGTTGGGTGCAGACAAATATTTGTTTTTGGGAGAGAAAATATGCCGTTTAAAGACCTATTGACAGTACATAGGGCTAATCGGCATGAAGTCCAAAGGTTGATATCTGGAAGAAAAAGTGCGCTTCAGGAATCGGTCAAGCTTTCGGTTTCTCAGGGTAGATTGTTATTAGGTCATTCGAAGCTTTTACATTCTCTATGTGCTGCCCAGGAAAATCTATATACAGTTAATCAAACGAAGAATATTTCAGTTGCTAGATCATTTTCTCGTGCCATTTATATTCCATCAGTGCCTGGGCCTGCATTTCATGTATGTGACTATCTTGGTCGCCTAATATCCTATCCTACACATCTTTCTTCTGGCATTGAATCTCAGAGGACACCAATGGCTGCTTGCGGTTTCAGATCATCTTCTCTTTTTGAGTGCCCTTCAAGTAAGGTTTCCTCCAGCTACTTCCATGAGTTCCATCCTGGTATATCAGTGAAAACCCCACTTATTTCTAACTGCTCTAAAGGATTTGAGAATTGTAGAAAAGTTAGCATGGGTTTGAAGAAGAAAAATCAGCCAAATTCCTTTACCGTGTATGGATATTTTGCATATGTAGTTGCAAAGAGAAGGGGCAATGCTTTTCCACTTGAAGGATTTGTATTGAATAGCTTCCATAGATTGCCGCATGCATGTTTTTCTACAGGAACTGCTCCTGATGTGTCCCTTGATAAAGTGTCTGCGGACCAATTTGCAAATTCAGCCGACTCTAAGGAGGAGTATGTTCTTTCTAGCTAGGATCATGCTATTAATTCCTACCATTTTTTCATTACTATCGTTCCACGTGTCAATACGAATTAACCCAGAAATAAATTTTAAGGGCCATGGAGATATGCAGAGGGGAAGAAAATAGGGAGGAAAATAGATGGGAAATTCGGAAGTAACAAAGCTCCGGGGGAAAATAAAAACTTGGTTGGAACTCAATAAATGGATTCTACATGGTCATTCAACTTCATTTTATCTATACATTTCTATTATATAAAGACTATACCATCTAACCATGTATTGAAGTTTATTTTTCTCACATCTGAATTTTATTCATATATTCTGAAGTAAAACCAAACACAGAAAATTGTTTTCTTTAGCATGATGTTCCTTTTACCAATTTCTGCATTCCAGACGTAGCCTAAAGTATCATTATTTTTGTGGTGGTGCGCGGCACTATATGCAGGAAGGTATGGATTGGAAGGAGCCTGAAGCTGAACTCCGGGTCATGTTATTTGCCCCATCCTGACAAAGAAGAGACTGGAGGAGAGGATGCTCATTTCATATGTGGGGATGAACAAGCAATCGGTGTTGCTGATGGTGTGGGTGGGTGGGCTGAGCTTGGGGTAGATGCAGGGCAGTATGCACGAGAGCTAATGTCAAACTCGGTGTCAGCCATTCTCGAGGAACCAAAGGGTTCCATTGACCCTGCTAGGGTCTTGGAGAAAGCTCACATGTCTACAAAAGCAAAAGGCTCTTCAACTGCTTGTATAATTGCCCTTACGGATCAGGTTTGTAAATACTACCACCAAAACAAAAAATAAGATAGGAACAAATGTTTGAATTCTTTCTTTCTTGGTGTTACCTGACACCCCTGTTCACAACAGGGTCTCCATGCCATCAATTTAGGTGACAGTGGATTCATGGTGGTTAGAGACGGATGCACGGTTTTCAGATCTCCTTCTCAGCAGCATGATTTTAATTTCACATTTCAGTTGGAAAGCGGTAGTGATGGAGATCTGCCAAGCTCTGGACAGGTCTACTTCCCAAATATATATGGAGTATTGCGTTAATTCTTGTGATGAGCAAAATTTCATGAGCGTATATTGTAGTGAATAGGTGTTCAAAGTTGGAGTGGCTCCAGGAGATGTCATAATCACAGGGACAGATGGGCTTTTTGACAACCTATATAACAGTGATATCACTTCAGTGGTGGTTCATGGTGCAAGAGCAGGACTGGGGCCGCAGGTGATTGCCCAGCAGATTGCTGCTTTGGCACGGCAGCGAGCTCGGGATCAGTACAGGCAGACACCCTTCTCTTCTGCAGCGCTAGACGCCGGATTTCTTTACTATGGTGGGAAGCTTGATGACATCACCGTCGTCGTTTCCTATGTCACCACCACCACCAGAGACGAGAGTGTATATGATTTCTCACTCACTATAAGTTTTGTGTTTTAAATAAAGTTCACTTTCTCATCACTCACTCTCACTTTCTCTCTCTCCCTCTGCAGGAAAGTTCATCTGCGCCGCCCTGCAAATCTACTTAGTGTATGTGTGAATACAATCTTTAGTAGTATTTATTAAGATTGAACTTTATCCCTTAGGATCCTTCCTCTCTTATATATCGTATTCCCAGCTCCGAACGATTTGATGAGTTTTTTTTTTATATATTCTCTTGAACTGATTTGTTAGTGATTAAACTAAATGGAAGTGTGTTAAGACTCTTTAGTATTACTCCATTGCTAAAATAACCTTCACTTTCATGTCAGACAATTGATTTCTGTGTGTGTGTGTATTTGTATAGATTTTATTAGATATACAAAAGGAATTATGTATTTGTAGGCATATCTAGTTATCAACATTCAAAAGAGAATCAATGAATGCATACCAAGATTTGTACACTTCCAAGTGTGCAATGTGTAATCACATTTGCTAAATGCATTATTATCTTCTGTGTTATTTGATCACCCGTATAAACGTTAATGTTTGTTCGTTTACTTACAATTCTTAGCAAAAGATTGGAAACCTTTTTTTAAGGACAAAAAGATTGGAAACTTTGAAGACTATAAAGTACGTAGTATTATTTTTAAAGATTAACTAGATTCGTACCCGTGCGTTGTACGGTCAATAAGTTTTTTAAAAAAATTCACTGTGAAAATCATAACACAACTATACATTAATTGATATAGTACATTGAAAGATTGAAGGGAATCGGTATGCGGTACAAAAAGAAATCATTGCTAAAAAATTACTTCGGGGTAATCTGATAAAGTTGATTGGGGTGGCGATAAAGAAGGGGATCGCGAGGTGATTTGGCATTGGTGTTGAACAGCGTCTCCAACATCCCCATCCCCTGATTGCTTTTATTTATATTACAGTAAATGGCTAGTTGAATAAAGTACTTCATCCGTTTCTCTTTTTATTATAATTTTTTTTCTCTCTTCTCGATAACTTTTGTTTATTTATGCGATTTTATTAAGTATTTGATAAAATAAAATATTCTTATCACATCTTGTAAATAAAAATATTTCCAAAAGAAAGATATTTTTTCCTCATAAATTTCAATTTGTAATCAAATTAGATACAAAAGAAGTATAATAATGGCACACTTCCAAGTGTGCAATGTGTAATCACATTTGCTAAATGCATTATTATCTTCTGTGTTATTTGATCACCCGTATAAACGTTAATGTTTGTTCGTTTACTTACAATTCTTAACAAAAGATTGGAAACCTTTTTTTAAGGACAAAAAGATTGGAAATTTTGAAGACTATTAAGTACGTAGTATTATTTTTAAAGATTAATATTTGCTACTCCTACGAAGTATATTGTATGCGTTCAAGCTCAATATATTTTATATAAAATCTTTTTTATACGGAGTAATTTGCATTGATCTGTCAAAAAATGAATCGATTTGTTTTTTACTTGAAATATTACTCAAAAACATTAAATTTTGCACAAAGATTTTATTGACTAAATCTGAAATTGAGCTAACTCGAAATGACCTGCTAAGAATATGTCAAACTTGATCGAATTCATACAGAGTATATATTAATATGAAGTGTGGAGTATAATATTATAAACATAAGGTTATAATTATGTTTTTTTACTTCTCGTTTTAGTATATAAATTTATATTTTTAGATAAAATTTTAGTGATATCGCATAACTTTCTTACTTTTTTTTAAAACTTGTGGATATTTGGTTTTTTTAAATTTGTAATATTGGTTCATAATACTAAAAATTATTTAAAAATTTAAAATAAAATAATCTTTTATATATATATATATATATATATATATATATATATATTATTTTGATGCAAAATGCAAATGTTAACATGGGTTTTAAAAATTTAAAAATAAATGTTGGATTGATTTAAAAATAACATTGGATAATGAACATGCAATTCTATATAGAAAAAGGAAGAAACACTAATTCGAAATAATGCAGATGTAAGGGATGGAAATCGACCTCACCCACCAATTTTCAGTTCTATATTCGCATAGCATCCCGTTAGAAATTTCAGAAGAATCCGAACATTTTTATCAAAATTATTTTTTTCATACCGGTCGGTTGTCCCATACTTTGGGTAATATGGACTATTGAGTCAAATTTTTGAAATAATTAGTTTTATTTGGCATAATACCCTTTCATCCTTCATGCGGTGGCGGCGGAAGGGTCGACGAACAAGAGCCGGATCGCAGCGAAGAATCGGTGGCGGTGACGGTGCTCTTAGGCCTCTCATCGGACGACGGCAATCAGTGGCAGCGACCTAGAACTGCTGCGAACGCCGATTGTACTCTCCTACAAACACGTAGAGATCCGACGAGGAGATGTGGCTGTTCACCTTCGCCGATCAAGCTTTATGAGCTTTGCTCCGATCAGGTTTGGTCCGTGTGTTAATCATTCGTGGATTTCTCAGTCTATTCCTTCTAGCGGGGGAAGAGAGGCTCCTGGATTGATTCTTACAAACAATCGAATGATTTGTTCAATGAATCGAATAATAACAACTCAAGCTCTTCAAGTTCATCTATTTCTTCAAGCTCGATCTTCGTTTCAGAAGGTGCTCTCCCTGCTCTTCTTGTTTTCAGTTTTTTTTATATGAGCACACATCTGGTTTGGCGGCAAACTTACTCACTTTTGTAATTTGGGTATTTATTTTGTTTGGATTCCCTGAAATTTTAATCTAAAGTGACGAATTGGCTCTTTCATTTCTGGACGTTGGGACGCTTGGTTTGACCTGGATCTTTCTCCTACGTGCATTTCTTATCAAACCAGAAGAATTACTATTAAATATATAGTGATCAGAAAATTAGAACCAACTTCACTTTCTGCTTGTTTTCTATGAAATTTTGGATAGTAAATGCATTAATGGTCTAACAGAGGCACTGAGGCAGGCTCTGTTTTTTTACAGGGGTAATGTTCAGTATGTTTTGACCCCTAGACCTCAACAAAATTGAGGTTAAACTAGGTTTGTTACCTTGTTCTTGTTGTATGCTTGCATAGGGGGTACTAAATTTTATGGATCTCTTTGTGATTTTATTATGACGAAAACATTGCTAAGGCTTTGTTACACGGAAAAGCAGTAGGAAAAGGTCCCCAACTAGATTATAAACGAATTGTCATGTATCATACCCCAGTAAAAAAACTAGAATGAGAATGAGACTTTTTATAATTGCAAAACACTTCCAATCAACATAAATTCACCATTAAATCACTTTTTATGATTAGTTTTGTATATTTTGTGTGTGAAAATTCTCCTTGCAATTTAAAGTTGCTTGTATGATGTTATTTTTTTTTTATTAATTTTCGCCCATCATGCTGTACAGGTGTATGAAAAACTATAATGGGTGCCTTCGTGGTGTGCTATATCAGCTTACTGATTTACTTCTTGCTAGTAAATGTACCTTGAGTTATGATATTTTCTTTTTCCTTGTGGCTTGGTTCTTCTGCTTCCACATATAGGTTGATACAGAAAAATCTGTGTTCTTCGGAAAGCAAATATGCCGTTTAAAAACTTGACAGTATATAGTGCTAAACAGAAAGAACTCCAAAAGTTTATTTATGGCAGACAAAGTGGGCTTCAGGAGTCAGTCCAGCTTTCAGTTTTTTCAGGGTAGATTGTTATTAGGCCATTCAAGGTTTTTCCATTCTCTAGCTGCTGCTATAGCAAATCTATATGTAGTTAATGAAAGGAGGAATCACCCAATTGCTGGAGCATTTTATTGTGCCGTTTATATTCCATCACTTTCTGGACCTGGATTTCAAGTATGTGGCTATCATATCAATCACCTTATATCCTATCATGCCCATCTTTCTTCTGGCATTGTATCTAGTAAGACACCAATGGCTGCTTATGGTTCTAGACATTATTCTCTCTTTGACTATTCTTCAAGTAAAAGTTCTTCTTGGTACCCCCAATCCGGTTTATCAGTGAATAGTTCACTTTTTTCTAAAGGCTATGGAGGATTTGAGAATTTTAGAAAAGATTGCATGAGTTTGAGGAAGAAAGATCAGCTTAATTTCTTCATTGTCCATGGATATTTTGCATATGTTGCTGCAAATAGAAGGGACGATGATTGTCCACTTCAAGGATTTGGATTGAATGGCTTCCACAGATTTTCGCCTGCATGTCTCTCTAATGGAACTGCTCCTGATGTGTCCTTTGATAACTCAGTGTTTGGGGACCAATTTGCAAATTCAGCTGACTCTATGGAGGAGTATGTTCCTTCTACATAAGCTCATTTAATTAATTCTTCTTCTACTAATATCCTTCCATATCTGATTAGGAATTTACCCACAAATGAACATCAAGCGCCGTAGAAATGCTATGGACATAAAAAAAAGGAGGAACATTGATGGGGTTTTTAATAAATGGAGGTTCAGGGAAAATACTTAGTTGATCGGAACTCAATATATCATTTTTTGTTTTTTTGTTCAACCTCATTTGTTTTTATATTTCTATTATAAAAACATAGAAATTGGAATATATCTTAAATTTTAAAAAGTTTTAGTCAAAATTGATTTTTGTTCCTGTTTTCCAATATAAAGCCAAACACTAAAAACAAAATTCTCTGACATTTTTTCCTTTACCACTTCCAAGTTCTGAACGTCTTCTTAATGTTCATTATTCCTATGCTGCTATGTGGATTCCATTCTCAGGGACATATGGACTGGTCGGAGCCTGAAGCTCCGTTCTGGATCATTTGATCTGCTTCATCCCGACAAAGAAGCTATTGGAGGAGAGGATGTTCATGTCATACGTGGGTATGAACAAGCAATCTGGGTTACTGATGGTGTGGGTGTGCTTGATGAGCTTGGGATTGATGTGTGGCAATATGCACGAGAGCTAATGTCTATCTCTGTGTCAGCCCTTCTGGAAGAACCAAAAGGTTCTTCTACTGACGCTCCCAGGGTCTTGGAGAAAGTTCACATGCCTAAAAAAGCAAAACACGCTTCCACTGCTTCAGTCATTGCCCTTACTAATCAGGTACTCCATATAAAAATACTACAGGAAGGAACTTAAAATTTGTTTTAGATGCTCCGTATTTTATCAAAACAATTTTAGATTTATTTCTATCATATAAGTGATCTGGAAACATCATTCAAAATGTTGTAGTAAAGCCCACACTTCCTTGCAAGGCCCTACTCTCTTCAGATCATCCAACCTCCACCTGTGGGAAACGAAACGCGGCAAGGCCCCGATTCTACAGCTCGAATTCCAAGGTGGTGGACTTGAGAGCGCTGAAGCCATTGATAATGAAGAAGGTTCAGAACTGGGCCAAGGACTATCGTTTCGATGACACTGCCCCAGTGGCCCGGGAAGTCCTGAATTCGCGGGCCTTACTCTATCGCGGCGTCTCCACTCTCCTCCACCATTTGCCGGTCTGGGC